CAAGGTACAGGATAGTTCTAGAAAGCAGGTGGCGTGAGAATAGTCACGTGATCTCGCTGACGCAACACTAGGATTTGTAATTTGTAGGCCTAAGTAACTTTCCGAATAACGCTCAAAAGTAAATAGCTTTACTGCCGTAAGAAATGCTTATTTGCATCAATTCTCGGCTGGTCGATCAAGTAACTTAAAATCAAAACTGTAACCAAAACCATTCTCTGACTGATTAATACTTTAAAACATAAAAATGGAGACGTGGGAAAATCTCCACCTAACGATGCCTGTAAGATAAAAAGAACGGTTATATAGTTGAAATGTATATCTCCATATGAATTTTCTGTTACGCAAGTCGTCATTTAAGAGTATTTTAGTTCCAAATCGCTGTTAAATATATTTACTATTAAAACTTGGAGGTATGAGTTATCCATCAACCCAACTTATGTAAGTGTAACTATCTTTCTCTAGCAGTAAAACATTAAAATTAAATTCCTGTACCGAGAACTTTTGGAAAATTATGTGCTTATTCTTGTTTTATGTGTATAAAAGATTGAGTGTGAGATTGAATAAAACATTTAATAATGAAGCTAAAGGAAACTCAAGGTGTATGAATTGTTTATCAGCCTGAATGAACTTGGTCTTAAAAACGAAACTACTTTAAATAAAAAATGCAATATTTTCTACACGATAAACATTTAAAAATCGAACTGTCTCAAGATACAATGATTTTTTTTGCTTAATATATATAAAGATAAAACATCGTGAGATTGGAAACTGTCTCGTGCACTCTAGGATGTTTCGACGTCTTGCCAGAGACGCCATTAATAAATGGCATAAAACCCCAAATTTTATAAAATATTTTAAAATTATTTGTATTACATTTCATTAATTCTGTAGATTCGCGAATATTACCATTGATGCTTGCAGGGGTTCTAAAAAATATATTTATTTTTCTATTGAATCAAGTGTCTAGTTTTATTATAATATTCAACTAAAGGAGAAATCTTTGTATTATTATTTCTAATATTTCTTCTAATTTGTGCTATAAACACTTACACTTGTTAATAATAACTTTTATTGTTGAGAACAGCTACATTGAATAAATGTAAAAGTAACAATTTTACCAAAAGTCGATACCTTTGGAAGTTATCTTATACTTGGTTGAACTATAGTAATTGTTATTATAATCCATAAAACTTAACGTAATTGTATATTTGTTTTCAGGATCGCATACTTCTGTTGCGACTTAACCGAGTTGCTCTAAACTTCTCAAGTCTGTGTAGAATTTTATAATGGAGATGGGGGGGGGGGAAGAACATAATGCATCATTGTTTCTATGATAATACAGTACATGACGCGAAACAGACTTATAATTATTAAGATAGCCCATTGTGTAGCTTTTTGCTTAATTACAAACAAACATTTATCCAAAAGTTAAGATCGCAAGGTAACATTTGTTTAAAAATCAAGCTATTATAAATTTGCATAAACGACAGAGGTTTTGTTTCTTTTCTTGTTTATTTTCCCGTTCTTCTTGTTTATTTTGCTGTTCTTGTATTGCTGCCATCAAATCTGCTAAGCTGTAGTTTGATTTGCCGCTTCTCGCTTCCATTTTTTTCCATCCCATTTCTGACACCAATTGTTACGTCTCCGTTCGTTAGTTAATTTTACGTAAATTCGTTCCGACGAAACTTTAGCGACACAAGTCCTTTCTTAAATAAAACTGGTTTATTCTTTCTGAATACAAATTTCCGATACACTTAATTTCAACAGTCGCGCTATAACAAACACTATAATTCACCACGAACATCTCACGTGCTCAACAATATTCTCACTCATTCAATTGCACATTGTTCCGTCACGTTGTGACCGTCTTATATATACCAGACTACCCCCAACTAGTAATCTCCCGACAATTCACGAAGGTTCGAGAAGGACGTGGCGTGATGCTAGTCACGTGACCTCGCTGACGCAACAATATCATAATATCTTTTATGAAAAATACATTTCTTAGCATTAACTCCATGGCTTCAAATCATAGCGACGCATGTACAGGTTAGAATTACTTTCAATATGACGTTATACGTAAAGACTTGAAGAGGATGTTTGATTAATAGTTAAGGCATTTCGATGGCCTCAGGAAGAATTTTATCCAAACTGAAAGTGTTGAACATGAAACCCAGCCGATGGAAAAACGAGAAAAGAAACAAGAAGAGAGATTACAGCAGTTGTTGGAGGAAAAAGAAAGAAACAAGAAGAGAGACAACAGCAGTTGCAAGAAAACACGCAACAGTGGCAGCTTGAACAACAAAATAAACAAGAAGAAAAATTACAGTAGTTGTTGGAGGAAAAAGAAAAGAAACAAGAAGAACAAGAAAAGAAACAAGAAGAGAGATTACAGCAGTGGCAACTGGAACAAGAAAGGAAACAGGTAGCAGGTCATCCAGTAGTACCTATAACAGTGGCCAATTTCTCTAAATGTGAGCAAACACTTAAGGAACGGGCATTGTTGGGTGTACGCCAGGAGGTAGAGCCAGTCAATGTTAAAGCAAGGAATACAACTGTAAAGAAAGGACATACAGTTCCAGAATATTTGACTGACCTCTATAAGAAGAGCATAGTTCATTTGTCATTATCACAGGCTTTTCAGGTAAAAGAACTTTTGGCAAATTATACTGACGTCTTGCGAAAAGAGATCATGACCTCGGCTGCACAAACCTTGTAGAGCACAGAATAAACACAGGCAATCACCATCTGATAAAGATCCCTCTGAGGA